TTCAAACTCAGAAATTTTAGCTAAGTCACTTTCATCTGCCCTATATGGCTTTTCTACAGCCTGCCTACCTGCAGCTTCAGAAAGTCCCTTTTCATCAAACCTTTTGAGTTTGTCTAAAGTTTCTGATGAAGGAACTGCTGAATAACTTGATGTGTGTGTGTGTCTTGATGTTTTTAAAGACTGGCCAGGTCTCTTTTCATCTCTTCCTGGCTCTTCTTCAATGTGCCGTCTGTAGGAGGAATGAGCATGCTTGGACTTCCTAAGGTATGGCCCATGGGATGAATCCTGTTTGCTTTGCTTTGAAGAGTGCCTCCGCTGGATCTAGATCTGCTATATGAGAGATCCTTTCGACCTACACTTGATTTGCTGAAAAACAAGAAGTCCTTTTATGGGGAGACTGTTGTCTTCTAAAGGCATCTTTCATGTCCCTGCACTCATGCTGTTGGCTTGCAAAAAGACCATCTCTTGTTCTCCTCAGGGCAGAATTGTCACTGCGGGCATTCTGGGGTCCTTTGTCACATGACGTGTTTGACCACATCTTGTCTATTCTGTACACTGATCTTGGACAGTGATCAAGGATAACAGGAGTGTGAAGTATGGAAGGTTGGGCTGGCCACAAGTTCACCAACACAGTCCTAACATTCCCTTGATGGCCACTGAGATAATGGCCTCAAAATTCATGTGCACATTAGATAGGCTGGACACTAGGAGACACTGGCTTCAGTGTGGATTGGTGGCTCCAGGTTCCAGGATGCAGGCTCTCAGGCTGCCACAGGAGTAATTAGAGGTCTGGTTGCTATGTGCTAGAGAGTAAAAGTTAAGTATAAACTGGCTTGCATTATTTTCTGTAGTTACAATGGGCATCTTACAACCTCCGAAAGGTCAGTACATACCTTTTATAGATTTATAAAATTTTAAAAAGGTACCAAGAGGTTCAAGAAGTATTGAATCTCTTCGTAGTAGGTTTAAGCACCTAATACTGAGCTGGTTATATAAATCAGACACAGCTAGGTGTAGTGGCACACACCGTTTAATTCCAGCACTCGGGAGATAGAGGCAAGAGGATCAATCTTCAAGGCCAGCCTGGTCTACATATTAAGTTTCAGGACAGCCAAAGCTATTTCATTTAAAAAATCAGAAAGAAATGAATAAACAAAAAAAATGAGTAAAGTTACTGACTTCCTGACTAATCTTGTCACTAACAGTAGTGACTAGGTCAGTATTATTTTTGTGTATTAAGCTACTAGAACAATGGTTCTCCACATTCCTAATGCTGCAACCCTTTAAAACAGTTCCTCATGTCCTGGTGACCCTCAACCACAAAACTATTTTTGTTGCTGCTTTGTAACTGTAATTTTGTTACTGTTTCTGAATCATTAATGTTAAATATCTGTGTTTTCTGATGGTCTTAGGCCACCCCCCTGAAAGGGTCATTCACCCCCTAAATTGGTCATAGGCTGAGAACCACTTCACTAAAAACAAGAAAATCTGTATCAGAAAATCTGTATTATAGACTCAAGACTTTTTTTTTTTTTTTTTTTTTAAATGCCAAATCTACTGTATCTTCACTCTCAATCCTGGCAAGGGCAGAATTAATGACATGATTGAAATATGGCAAGAGATTCCAGGTTCTGTAGCCTGTTCCCACAGCACAGCAGCTCTCTTATGAGTTCCACCTACTACTTAGAAAAGAAAAATGCACTTGCTGACTTCATTTCTATACTTGGCACATAATATTCTAGCCACATTTTCGTTTCTCCAAATCCTGGACTCTTTGAATTCAAGAGTCAAGCCACAGAATCCTATTATATCTCTGAGCAGCTATAAAGTGGGGCTCTAAATATTTGCAGATGAAAATTGAAGCAAATAAATATCTGACTCTGTATCAGTGTAGCTCTTAATACCTTCATCAGAATACTGTGAGAACCTTGAACTACAGTATCTGAGAATAAGGCAGAGGAGTACACAGTCCTCTTCTGGCAGCTGCTTCAGGATTTCCCAGATGTGCCAGAATCTGTGGATCTGCAGGTTCTTTCTGGGCAAGGACAGTTTACGTGTGGCCTATGCACTGTCTTCTATATATGTAAGTCATCTCTCTCTCTTTGGTTTTTCAAGACAGGGTTTCTCTATGTAACCTTGGCTGCCATGGAACTCACCACAGAGGTCCACCTACCTACCTCTGCCTCCTGAGTGTTGGGATTAAAGGTGTGCACCACTACCAGACTCCCTTAGTCATCTCTCTCTCTCTCTCTCTCTCTCTCTCTTAGTCATCTCTTATATGTGCTTATTATACAAGCAACCACGGTAGGCCAAGAGTACATGAGCAAAATAGCAGGCAAACAATGTCCAGGGCGTTGGAGAGACTAAGGGTCTGTGAAATGGTAGGAAGCTAATGAAGGGTGTGCATGCCTGCATATAGCTTCATTCCTAAGCAGCGTAGTGTTTAGCATATGGCAAATTCAAATTCAAATTTTGCCTTTTAGAACTTCCTGGACTTTTCTTAGAGGGCTGGGGACAGAACTCAGGACCACTGTACATGCTAGATAGGCAATATACTACTGAGCTAAAATTTAACTTAAGAACTTTTCCTTCACCCACTACTGAATTTGCAGATTTGCAATCCATGGATATGGGCCTGACAATGTACCTGAAACAAGTCCTTCACAAGATTATCATGAACCTGAAAATTTAGGACTACATGTAATTTACATGTAAATGCCTAACTATATCTAACTATGTATGGCTAAAGTAAAACTTAATGCTTCTCTTTTGTGAATCTCTTTTTCAATGTTTGAATCATCTTTTTAGAGCAAAATTGCCATCAAATTGCTCAAAATCCCCACTAAACTGGATCCAATGACAGCAGCACCACCAGGATTTCAAGGTCATCCTTGGCTTTAGAGTTCAAGCCAGCAAATGATACATGAAACCGTCTCAAAACAAAACAACACTCCCTACTACAGGGCAAAAATTACAGCTGTGAGATATTCACTGAAGAATCTGCTTGGTCAAGTAGCAAACTAACATTTCTACTGCTGGCAACTGAATCCAGGATTTTGTGACTCCTACACACATACTTTACTATAGAGGTGGTAGCCTTCAGCCCCAATCCACATAACTTGTAATCTTTCTGCCTTCATCTACCAAGGAACTGGAACTAAAAGTCTGTGCCACAAGCCTTACCTTGCTAAATGCTAAGACACCACCATGTCTGGCTGTCAAACTAAGATTTTCACTTATAACACAAACTCTAGCTGCATGCTATCAGATAAGTCATTTACCTTTCTTTGGATCACCTGTAAATTGGGATAATACTAGTTAGTGTAAAGAGGTTATTATAAAACAACTCAGAATAATTCCTAGCACACAGCAGGTTCCATGAAAACACTACCTCTATTACAACGATTATACTCTGTTCATAGACCACTATAGTCCCACCTGTAAATTTCTGCTGCTTGGTTGTTTTTTTTTTTTTTTTGGGGGGGGGTTGTACTCCTCCTGAAAAGACATCAGGGTAATGTCATCCTGTTTTGACTGTATTTTGTGTTTGTTCTCTGCCTTCTTTCCCCAATGGTCATAACTGCCTCGGCAAAACATTTGAGGTTATCTGTTGCCAAGGCAGTTATGCTCTACCAGGAATAAATGTTTAGGGTTATTCTGACCCTCATCTAACTTTGATGTAAATTAAGGTCTTTGAAGGTTGTGCCTTTAAAAACTATCCCTGAGCTTGGGCAGGAAGAGATTTTTTTCACAGGCACAAGCCCCCTCTTGGTCTAGCCAACAATAAAAAGGATTTAAAACTTTTAATTGTCTTAACATGGTTGTCAATAATGTTCTTGTATGGATCATTACACTCTCACCTGTTAAGATTTCTGAGCCAAAAGTATCCACTAACAAGATCCAAATTGTCTGATGATTAATATACTCCAATCCCAAGTTAACCATTCCAGTCTCTACAAAGCTGTGTAAAGTTTATCTGTGTGTTACCTAATTTCCTGGACTATTTGGTAGAGTGCTTGCCTAATAGTTTCTATCGTTAGCCGTGTATAAACAGGGCACGGTGGCACACAACTATTATCTCAGCATTCAGGGAAAACTACCTCTTGCACAAGTCTAGATTTGAGTCATGTGTTTGTAAATCAGGGGAGGAAATCTCTAGCCTCAGTGTCACTTTAGAGTTTCATTTTTCTCCCTTCTGCATTTCCTGTTACCTGATTCAGAAAGCCAGGAAAATCAGAAATCCATAGGGGTATTCTTATCCAGCCTGGACTACACAGAGTCTTTCTCAACAAATGAAACAAGCCAGGCATGGTGGCATGTGCCTTTAATCCCAGCACTACGAAGACAGGCGAATTCTTTTTGAGTTTGAGGCTTGCCTGGTCTTGAGTTATTAGACAGCCTGGGACTACACAGAGAAACCCTGTCTCAAAATAAAAAGCAAAAGGGTGTGGTGGTGCCCACCTTTAATCCCAGCACTCTGGGAGGCAGAGCACTAGGATCTCTGTGAATTTGAGGCCAGCCTGGTCTACAAAGCAAGTCCAGGACAGCCAGGATACACAGAAAAACCCGGTCTCAAAAAAACAAAACAAAACACCAACAACAGGGAAACCGTGTTTCAAAAAAGCAAAACAACAACAAAACCCCAAACCAAAGTTAAGTCTTAAGAGTAAGGCTAACCTGTGCTCCCAAACCTGGTCACCCCTTGTTCTCCTTGAGCCTCATTATTTCCCATTTAACAGTCCACACTAGTATCAACGTTAAAAGACTGTTGTGTTCGATGTCAAACTGAGTCCATAAATAAGCAAAAAGTTTGAATGACTGACTGATATTAATAGAATTACTAACAGTCGCATTTTACTGAATGCTGGCTACAGTGTGATTAGCATTTATCTGAACGCTAGAGGGAAAGGAAAAAAAAAAGGGGGGGGGGGAGTGTGCCAGCAGCCCCGCGGTATAGTTTTCCCATTAGGTTTATGGAGGCTATATACCCAAGCATATACCGAGCACTTGGATCAGGATACTTCCGGCTGTTAACAAAATAGCAGTGACAAGAACAAACAAAACTTCACTGGCACGTGCAGTCCGTACCTAAAGATGAGAGAAAAACTCCTTTGTATTGGCTTTTCAGGTGTGACGTTGAGGCCACCAAGGACAGACCAATGAGCGTCCGTAGGTAGGACCTAACGGCGACTGTAGGGACATGACAAGGCTCCCACTTACTCTTTTCTTCAAAGTTAGGCATTCGCCTAACTAAAGATCCCCAGTTAGACACATTGTCTCTCTCAACACACACAAACACACACACACACGATCCCCTTAGCACAAGATTTCTGAGTCATGGGAAGAGCGAAGCTCTAGGTCAGCCCCAGTGTCACTTTGGAGTTTGATGTTCCCTTTTCTGCGTTTCCCATTATGCCTAGAGACAGGAAGGTGCCTCGATCTAGCGGATGTGGCGGGCATCCCTAGGCCGCAGGCGTGGAAGCAAGACTCCCTTCTCTGCCACCACCGGGGACGAGTGGCTCTGACCCAGACCCCTAAGCGGGCGAGGACTGGAGGCGCGCGGCGGCAAGGGTCTTCGCCTCGGAAGGGAAAGGGAACTGACAAGCTGCGCTCTGCGGCCCGGCCGGGACGCTTTCCGCTGCCCAGCAGCGTCCAGGCACGGGCAAGGAGAGGCCCGCGAGCCTGGGCCCACCCCGCCAGCGCGGCTCGGGGAGCGCGTTCCGTTCCGCCTTCCCCGCCGCACTCTCACAAGCCAAGCGCTCTGCCGCGCCGTTACCACCCCAGCGTGCCGAAGCTCACCTCAGCACCAGTCCCGGGACCCACTCACCCGCCAGGACCCCCGCGGAAGCAGAGGAAAAGCAACTGGTTTAGCTTCCGGAAGCAATCTAGGCCGACGGGCGGACAGTACGCTACTCAAGCGACCATAGAGGAGAGGCCGCTCTCATGCTTAGAGTCGCAACCCCGCGCGACCTTCCCGCTGCCTAGAGCGGCTGACCCAGGGAACGCTGGGCGCATGCGCACTAGTGCGACTCGTGCCTCCGCTTTTCTTTGGTGCCAGCACGGAAGTCGCGGCCTGAGGGTTGGGAGGTGTTTTTCTGTTAAGTGTCAGCTGGAACGTGTCCTTGTATTTAGATGAGCTATCTTTGTTCAGACACCAAAATAATTCTCTCACGGTGCCCCGCATGCACCGTAATAAATCATATCTTCACATGCAGAAAACCCCAGAAGCAGTGTTTAAAGTTTATAGAGTCAGAATTTGGAATAAAACGACTTTATCAGGTTTAGCCCGCAACTACCCACTTGGTATGAATATGTCGAGAACTGTGTTTTCCATCTATTTGACATTGTGAGCGCAAAACAGGAACAATGTAACTTTTAGGTTAAGGGTAGGTAGTCAAAACACAGTTAAGAATATGTTCCTATGTCCTATTTTAAGTCCTTGCGAGTTAAGGTTTCAATTTGTAATTAATAAATTCCTGATTATACTGTGCAGATTAAGGTTTCTGTTTGTAATTACGAATAAATTCCTGAGACAGGCGCGGTGGTGCATGTCTGTAATCTCAGCACTCTGGGTGGTAGAGGCAGCTGGATATCTCTGAGTTCGAGGCTGGCCTGGTCTACAAAGTGAGTCCAGGACAGCCAAGGCTACACAGAGAAACCCCGTCTCAAAAAAACAAAAACAAAACAAACAAGTTCTTGTTTTTTAGATCTGATGTAAACTGCTTGCAACCCCACTCATGAAATGTACTTATTCTAGTTCCTTCCCTTTCGTTGTATCTTTCTAACAACTCTCTCACAGCTGTGAATACCTTACCTCTTCAGGCTGGAGAAGTGGCCCAGAGGTTAAGAGCACTGACTGTTCTTCCAAAGGTCCTGAGTTCAATAGTTCAATTCCCAGCAACCACAAGGTGGCTCACAACCATCTATAATGAGATCTGGTGCCCTCTCTTCTGGTATGCAGGCAGAACCCTGTGAATGAATAGTGAATGAATTTAAAAAAAAAAAAAAAAAAAAGGAGCAGTTGGGAATAGTGGTACACAAAGGCTTGATTCAGGAGAATGAATTCAAAGCCATAGTGAGACACCCAACAAAACAATAACAAAAGGGACTTAAGGAGGCCAAGAGGGACTGTTCTTTTAAGTTCCGTTAAGGGTGAGACAGCCAGCTGGCCCATCCCAGGTATATCCCTCTCCTCTTTATTCTCAGGTTTAGCATCTTTAACAACATTGAGATGGGTTTGATTCCCGGTAGCATATAAACAAACTGGGTGTGGTGGCACACCTGTAACCCCAGCACTCTGGGAGTCAGGCAGGCAGATCTCTGTGAGTTCCAGGGCCAGCCTGGTCTACAAAGTGAGTCCAGGACAGCCATGGCTACACAGAGAAGCCCTGTCTCAAATAAAAAACCAAAATGAGAAAAAAAAAATAAGGAATTTCAAGGCCATTCCTTAGCTGTTGAGTGTGTTTGAGACCAGCCATCTCTAAATGAATAAAAAAGGCTGTTCCTCTCAAACTGGTAGAGTAAAAATGATATGTACTAGCACGAGAGAGTGTGAACTTACTTTCTAGAGAATAATCTTTCAAGTGTGTAAGCTTTTTTCCTCACTGTGATAGGAGATACGTAACAGATTTTGCCACTTAAGTATTTTTTTGTTTGTTTGCTTTTCTAGACAGGGTTCTCTGTGTAACTTTGGCTGTCCTGGACTTGCTTTGTAAACCAGACTGGCCTCAAACTCACAGCGATCCACCTGTCTCTTGCCTCCATGAGTGCTAGAATTAAAGGCATGTGCCAAAAACCCCAGCTTTTTTTTTTTTTTTTTTTTTTTTCCGTTTTGAGACACAGCCCAGGTTAGACTTGCATTCAAGATCCTATCAAATCAACCTCTTCAAATGTTTGAATTACAGGTGTGTCCCACTATATTCACCCTTTTTGTTTGTTGTTTTGAGATAGGAAAGAGTTTTTCTGTGTAGCCCTGGCTATCTTGAAACTCATTCTGTAGACCAAACTGGCCTCAAACTCAAAGAAATCTGCCTGCCTCTGTGTCTAGAGAAAGAAGATATGTGTTGTGGATATAAACATGTTTTTGTTTTAATCCCAAGTGTGGGATGTGGGACTGATTCAGATTGTCCACAGCAGCAAACTATTTGCCTCATGTGGACTCTGAGAAGAGCTCTTTGCCAGCTGCAGATAGTTTAAATCTGAGGACTCTGAAGAGAGAATAAATGCCAGAGCCCAGAGAGTGTGGAAGATCCGAGGAAGAACAAGGCTGTGGCGGCTTCTCCCCTCCGGCTCCTGTTGCTGTCGATGCACTGAGAAAAGAGGTTGGAGATCTCCTGAAACAAGGATTGAACTGGCTCCAAGGAACCTGACAACCCTAACCAGCAGGAAGCAGCTAAGAGAACTGTTCCCCTGCTCTCACAAACTCTTTCTCTAGCCCACTTGCTGTTGGGGTGTTGGAAGGAATTGGGGTGGAGTAGGGAAAAAGATATAAGAAATGTAAATAAAAGTTTTTTTAAAAGTACGCTAATTGGATATGTATGGCGGTTAGTACAACAAAAGTTATGTTTTATTATGCTGAGGGTTGTTATACAAGGTTAACACTCAATTCCTAACTATTGTCCTAAGCCTATCTCCCTAAGGCTGATCACCTGTGCAACTTATCTTAGCTGAAGGTCCAGTCTCTTAACAGAAGTCTACAATTTGAGGTCCAGGGGACACCCTCCAGCCACAGAGCAGATCAAGGTGCTGTCTTCTCTAGAAGTGCAGAGCAGAACATTGCTCTTGGTCTCTGCTTATGTACTATCTAGTGGGCATCATGTGGTAGTTATCTTCAGTGAATGATGTCATTGAGTGCTAGTTATCAGGTACAGCCTTGAGTATCAGAAGGTTCCTGACTAAGCTATTTAAATGTCTAAAAGGTGTTATTTTTACTATGTACATTGCACTCTGCTTTCTGAGTGCTGAAGTTAAAGGCATGGACCACCGATGACTGGCTGCACTCATACATTTTCAAAGCATGTTATATTCATGCTTTATATTCAGTGGCACTATTCATATTGTGTAAAGACATCACCACTATGCATCTCTACTATTATTTTATATTCCCACTCTGAAATTCTATTATTAATAGAAATACATTCATTAGCCTGGGAGTGGTAGCACATACTTATAATTCCAATCTTTAGGAGGCTGAGGAAGAAGGGTTACTGTTAGCCAACTTTGGCTGTATAAGCAATACCAGACAAACCAGGCCTTTATAGCATTAGAATACCAGTCTGCTTCTTTAAGACAGTGGTCAGTTTATCTGTTTATTTAGACAAAGTATATTAGTCAGGGTTTTCTAGAGTCATAGAACTTACAGAATGACTCTCTATACATACATACATACACACACACACATATATAAATTATATTATATACATATATAATTTATTGGAATGACTTACAGCCTGCAGTCCAGATAATTCTAGAATGACTAGCTATAAATGGAAAATCCAAGAATCTGGTTAATCAGTGCCACCATGCCAGGCTCACATCCAACTTTTTAATTCTATCTATCTATCTATCTATCTATCTATCTATCTATCTATCTATCTATCTTCCTATCTTCCTGAGACGGGTTTTCTGTGTAGCCTTGGCTGTCCTGCACTCACTTTGTAGCCCATGCTGGCCTATAACTCAGAGACCCTCCTGCCTTTGCCTCCAGAGTGTGCCATCTGTCCCGATGCAATGCAGGGTCTTAACCACTAAGAAATCTTTCTAGCCCCACCTCTCCAGGTTTTATAGGCAAGCCTTTCCCTTTTTTTTCTTTTTTCTTTTTAAAGACATTGTCTGCCTCATGTACATGTTATACTGTGTCTAACATTCTCTGTCACACTAGAAGGTCCCATTATGGTCTCATATTTTTTCTCTCAATAAATCTCATTCCTGAAGGGTAATTATGTGTCCACTTCCTTTCCTGGACTGACAGTCCTTGATTTCTATTATATTATTACTACTGTTTTATTATGGTTAACACACAGCAAGACCCTGTTTTGAATTTTCTGTACCCAACAACAAACCAACTAGTTATTTATACAGACTTATTAATATAATTCTTTATAACCCACATACTTTGTCATGAATGACCTTCAACACAATCCCAGGAAATTTAAAATTTAGGAAGATTGGCTGGCTGCATTACCAAGTTACTTCATGAATAGAGCTAAGTTTGAAAACAAAACCGGACCCGGTGATACATGCCTGGAATCCCAGCACTCTGGGAGGCAGAGGCAGGAGGATCTTTGTGAGTTCGAGGCCAGCCTGGTCTACAAAGTAAGTCCAGGACAGCCAAGGCTACACAGAGAAACAGAGAAACCCTGTTCCAAAAAACAATAAAAACAAAACAAAATGTTATAATCAACTTCTTGCGAGATTTTCCGGAAGACCAAATTAGATTTACTCAACGAGCTTAATAAGATCATCTATTATTCATCAGTCCATCAAAAGGCTTTGGTGAGGGATCAACAAGAATCTCCAACCAACATAATTCACCTTCATTAGGGCCACTGCTTGCTAGCCTGGAGGGCCTCAACCTCGGCCCCGCCCCTGTCGTGACGCAGCTCTGACGCAGGCGCAGCGGTGGCGCTGTTTCCGGAAGTGTCCACCGTAGTCTGTTCCGTGGCTGCCTCCGACACTGGGTCGCTGCTATTTGCTGCAGAACTCTGCGCGTGGACGGTCGTAGGCCAAGACGGGGCCAGGTTCCGTCTGCGCCGCAGGATGGAGATAATCCGGAGCAGTGCGTGTCTGCCGTGCATTCCTGCTCCCCTTTTCCCCAAGTCCACCCAGCGTGCTGGGCCCAGACCTCGTGTGCTTGGTGGGGCCTGGGGCACCCAGGGCTGGGCTTTACATCTTCTGAAGCCGGTGCTGCTGGAGGGACTTGTTCAATGAAACGGACATCCTTGGGACCCTTGCCTTTCTCTTCCCCGCTGACCTGCTTGCGCCTATTCCTTTTCAGTCATGCCTACTTCGGGGCTTGACTCTAATGTCAGGCCACCCCTGGAGGATCCTTAGGGACTTGTTCTCCGCCCCGC